TAGGGCCTCACAATCTGCCGGCTATATATTTTTTTACATCATTCTTTGACCAGCTGATTTAACTGAAAACGGTTTTTTTTAAAGTTTGTGTGTGTGTGGGGGGGGGGGGCCTCTGGACCTTGTATAACTTATGGTCTCAGCAAGTCTAAGTCCGGTGACGTCTCATCTAAGTCCGGCCATGTCTCATCTAAGTCCTGCTATTTATTTTTTTACATAATTCTTTGACCAGCTTATTTAACTGAAAACGGTTTTTTTTACAGTTTGTGTGTGTGTTTGGGGGGGGGGCCTCTGGACCTTGTATAACTTATGGTCTCAGCAAGTCTAAGTCCGGTGACGTCTCATCTAAGTCCGGCCATGTCTCATCTAAGTCCAGCCCTGTCTGATGCTTAGAACGTCTCAAATAATAATAAATATAAGCTCCAATCCAAGGACACCTCTCGTGTCAAACGTGAAGAGAAGTAAAATTTTGTATGTAAAAATTGAAACAGCGAGTTTAGGTTGTTTATGGTTCAATCGCTCTGATTTAAAGAACATGCGAGGCAAAATAAGGAAGAAAGCAGCCATCAATGTGTAGCCATTTTCACAGAAGCATCTAAACGTGATCACCATTGAAAGGTTTGCACCAAGTCCAAGTTAATCATTGAAGCAATAAAATGGAACCTGTACCCGGCCCATTGGACGTCACGTCGTTGCTAGGTAACAAGATGACACAACATTTCTGGTATAATCCAGTTGGAGCCCGTTGTAGGATGGGATGTCCCGTTATTAATCAGTGTTAAGACTTTTCAGACATATCTAAGTTAATTATGTGGGAGCATCACTGAACAATGGCGGTCTTTCTTTATTTTCCCCGTAATCGATTTATATGCTCTGATTTCTTATTTGTTTTTATGTGTAACATATTAAATTTACAAATGACATAATTCGTCACCGACAGGAAAAAAAAGAGTAATGCTGTTGTTTGGATAGGAAAGAGCAGGTAAGAGCAGGTAAGGTTTCAACGGCAAGGTGTTTTGAATTAGAGACGTTTGGCATCAAGGAGGCAATGATTCGGGACGCTATAAAATGTTTGATCTTTGCACGCGAAGATGACCAAGGCAATATAGATGACCAAGGCAATGAAGATGACCAAGGCAATGAACATGACCAAGGCAATGAAGATGACCAAGGCAATGAAGATGACCAATGCAATGAAGATGACCAAGGCAATGAAAATGACCAAGACAATGAAGATGATCAAGAGTTCGACTTGTGTAGTAGATATGTGCTCTTCGTGCGCTCTGCGTCGCAGGGGTTTTTGGAATTTTCATCATGTCAATGTCATGCCGCTTACGGGACTCCATCTCTCGGTTTGATGTTGGCCTTCTCTTAGATGAGTTGTCATCCCAAGAAAGCGAGTCACATCCATTCCGGGTGCTTGTAATGTTTCTGCATTTGCTGGGCATTGAACTCGGGTTCATTAGCATGTGATGTATTCATTTAGACCACTCGGTCACCCAGCAAAACAATTTACATTGGGTTTTTTTCCTAAATTTTGAGACTCTGGGACGCTACTGACATACTAAACACCAATTAAACAGGCGCTTAGATCAGTTTCTGCAAACTAAATTTTCGTACATTGGAACACCGCTGCAACCCATCCCGCTACAACGCACCCCGCTGTAACGCATCCCGATACAACGCTGCCTATTACAACGTACCTTGCTACAACGCACTTTCTGCTACAACGCACTCCGTGCTACAACGCACCCCCTGCTACAACGCACCACCTGCTACAACGCACCCCCTGCTACAACGCACCCCCTGCTACAACGCACCCCCTGCTACAACGCACCCCCTGCTTCAACGCACCCCTGCTACAACGCACCCCCTGCTACAACGCACCCCCTGCTCCAACGCACCCCTGCTACAACGCCCCCCCTGCTACAACGCACCCCCTGCTACAACGCACCCTCTGCTACAACGTATCCCCTGCTACAACGCACCCCCTGTTACAACGCTGCCTATTACAACGCACCCCGTTGCAACGCACCCCAACTTAAGAAGTCGCCTAAATCGTCATTCTTCAGGCAAAAGTTTTGTATCTATGTATATTATTGGTGGTTGACGGTGCCTTAATTGAGGTCTCGTCCCGGGGAAACAAATGATCTCATCAACTGTGCTCGTGTGCCCCGCCCGTTAAATTATAATGAACACACTTATGTTTAATTCTATTTGATCTATTCTGATGTCATCACGTGACTAGCCAATGACGTCTGATCTATTCCAGGTTTGTCCGGTCAAGAGTTCCAGTTCCTCCCCAACGGAGACGGACCGTCGCGGTACAGGATTCTAAACTTCAGGAAAACCGATACGGGAGAGTACGAGTGGGCGACCGTAGGGTTCTACAGACATTCAAATCTGAACATAGTAAGTGGGTCATTGTTGGGTTCTACAGACATTCAAACCTGAACATAGTAAGTGTGTCATTGTTGGGTTCTACAGACATTCAAACCTGAACATAGTAAGTGTGTCATTGTTGGGTTCTACAGACATTCAAACCTGAACATAGTAAGTGGGTCATTGTTGGGTTCTACAGACATTCAAATCTGAACATAGTAAGTGGGTCATTGTTGGGTTCTACAGACATTCAAATCTGAACTTAGTAAGTGTGTCATTGTTGGGCTCTACAGACATTCAAACCTGAACATAGTAAGTGGGGCATGGTTGGGTTCGTCAGAGATTCAAATTGAACATAGTAAGTGGGTCATTGTTGGGTTCTACAGACATTCAAATCTGAACATAGTAAGTGGGTCATTGTTGGGCTCTACAGACATTCAAACCTGAACATAGTAAGTGGGGCATGGTTGGGTTCCTCAGAGATTCAAATCTGAACATAGTAAGTGGGTCATTGTTGGGTTCTACAGACATTGAAACCTCAACATGGTAAGTGGGTCATTGTTGGGTACTACACACATTCAAATCTGAACAAGGTTGGTAGGTCTTTTGAGATACATCAAACAAACTATGCAAATCCGCTGCATTATGAAATTTACTTTTCATTTAATAAAAATGTCAATCTATTGGGGAAACATTTTTCTTTAAATCCATAGATCCCTGAAACGTTAACCGTAATGTTTTCTTTTAAGGAAAACCAAACCACCAACAGCTGCCTTAGTTTGAACAAATGAAAGTTTTGGTGGGGTTTTTTTATTACTCATCATTAGGGGTGTGCCGGATCCGTTTTTTCCAACCGGATCCGGATCCGGATTTTCTTATGCGAAATCCGCCGGATCCGGATACCGGTTTCTCCCGGATTCCGGATTTTGGTACTATTGGTAGATACTTCGGTAAGTCAAGGTGGACTACTACTTTTTGTGTATGGGAATTCGCAATCGGCGCCAAAAAATCCGAGTTTTTAATTTTCCGATGTGTGTGTCTATTTATTATTAAATTAGTACTTTCGATATATATTTGAGTTCCGTTCCATTTGGATAAGTGTCTTACGAGAGACGCCATGTTTCTACGCGTTCGCAGCAGGTTATGCAGCTCGCTCAACCTAATTTCGCCATGGGGTTGGCCACGCCCCCCTTTTTAATGGCGGAAGTTGACGATACTTAGGAAATATTAATTTATTATCACTATTTACATCAAAATAATTGATAACTTGTGTTTCAGAATGCATTTAAAGACATTTAAACTGGAATGTTTTAATTTGAGCTTTAACAACCCGGTAGAATCCATATTATAAATGATCAGAATTTACCGTGTGCAACACGTTGTCATTGGCAACCATTCACAGCCACTTGCATAACTGTATCGTAGTACTACCTCAGAGTTTCATTCATAAGAGTTTGCCGTGTGCAAAAACTATTAAACCATTGGTCAGGGAAAGCTTTAATTAATTATTCATGTGCCAAAGTTGAAAGTTTAAACTAAGTCTAAACAGTATTTTAGTGATAAGGCAGGGAATGCGTTGCCTTATATAAACTATATAGTCATTGCGCATGACGGGATTGGTGGAATGAGATCACAGAATGTGGAGATGCAGTCCATGTTAAAAAATGACAAACCAAGTCGTACTTTAAAAATTCATAACTTTAAAACTACAACAGCTAAAAATATGATTTTGGTGTTATAATTCTTTAAAAAATTACATCTTTTCAACTATGCCATTGGTTTATTTTTACAAAAAGTTTAAATTTTCTTATCAAAGTCCCTACACTATTGGCCACTATTAGCGGTGCTGACTCTAGCCTCTGGTATGTACGGAATATTAAACATTAAACAAGCTCAACGCTCGAAACAATCGATTAATGTATCGTGATCGTGTGAAATTCGGGAAAGAGAATTACTTTTATTTCAGATTATGATCCGGTGAGTCACAAAATCTGGCAAATTCCGAAATCCGGTATATTCCGGATTCCGGAATCCGGTTGTTCCGGATACATGTAAATCCGGCGGAACCGGATTTCACCGGATAGTGCAAAATCCGGCGGAACCGGATTCCGGACCGGGGTCCGGCACACCCCTACTCATCATTCCCTTAAATAAATGCAATAATATTTGACGACAGAGCAGTCTCAAAATTAGTCTCGAAATTAGTGTTAAAACTAATTTCGAAATAACCTAAAAATTATCTCAAAATTAGTATCAAAATTATCTCAAAATAAGTCTCAAAATTGATATCAAATTTAGTCTAAAGATAGTCTCGAAATCGGTATCAAAATTAGCCTAAAAATATTCTAAATTAGTCTTAAAATTATCTCAAAATAAGTCTCAAACCTAGTCTCAAAATTAGTCTCAGAATTAGTCTCAAAATTAGCATAAAATTAGTCTCAAAATTAGTTTAAATATAGTCTTAAAATGAGTCTTTAAAATAGTCTAAAAATTAAAGAAAAGCCAATGTAAACTACCGATATGGAACGTTGAAAACTTTTCCCCAACCCAAGGGCGTTTACATGATTACCATTCGTCTGTAGACGCAGCCAATCAGATTCCGAGCCGTGGAACCGGAACACCCCACCTCTGTGTGCAACTCAAAATGTGGACACCGCCAGTACATGGAGCCCATACCGGGGGACCCTTGCTGTTGGCACTGTAAGGACTGTACGACCTACGAGTACCGCCCCGTGGACACCAAGTGAGTTACCGACCTTTGTTTGTTTCCAGTTTCTTGATATCAGACCGGCTTCTGATCAACTTGAATTCAAGTTTGCTTGTTGTTTTATTTGACGGGGGATTTTAACATTGTCTGTTAGTCTACGCGTCTTGAGAGATTTGTTTCACCTTTAAGTAGAACCATGCCAGTTTTAGAACCACTTCAGTTCTCGTATTCAATGAAGTATTTAAGGATTCTAGATTAAGCATAATATCTAAAACGGTGTATGTGGCAATCTCAATATTCGCGAACCACATAATTGCACATGTAAAACCGATATATCTGATGGTAGCTGTAATTAGAATTCCTTTTTTTTTTCTATTTCAGATGCGTGGAATGCCCATCAGGCACAGTCCCTGGGGCCAACATGACCTACTGCATGGAGATCCCTCCTGTCTATCTACGCTACACCGACGCCATCGCGCTGGCCGCCATGGCGTTCGCGTCCCTCGGTATCCTGGCGACCACCACCACGGCGGTCATCTTCCTCAAGCACAACGACACCCCGGTGGTCAAGGCCTCGGGGAGGGAACTCAGCTTCGTCCTGCTTCTCGGCATCTTCCTGTGCTACACCATGACTTTCCTCCTCGTCTCCAAGCCCACCAAGTACGTCTGCGGGTCCCAAACCGTCGGCATCGGCTTCTGCTTCTCCGTGTGCTACTCGGCCATCCTCACGAAAACCAACCGGATATCTCGAATATTTCGCGCGGGGAAGCGCACGGTGAAACGTCCGAAATTCATCAGTCCGGAATCGCAGCTCATCATCTGCGCGAGCCTGGTCGCCTGCCAGATCATCGTCAGCCTCATCTGGCTGCTGACCAGCCCGCCCAAGGCCATCTCCTTCTACGCGAGGCGCGAGGACCACCAGCTGGTCTGCGAGGCCGCCATCGGGTTCGCGTACATGATCGGCTTCTCGTACCCCATCTTCCTCGTCCTGGTGTGCACCATCTACGCGGTGATCACCCGGAAGATCCCGGAGGCGTTCAACGAGTCCAAGTACATCGGGTTCACCATGTACACGACGTGCATCATCTGGGCGGCGTTCGTTGTCATCTACCTGAGCACGTCGCACAACATCCAGGTGCGCATCGCCACCATGTGCTTCTCCATCAGCCTGAGCGCCACCGTGGCGCTCATTTGCATGTTCACGCCCAAACTTTACATCATCATCATGAGGCCGGAGCGGAACGTCCGGCAGAGCATGATGGCCAAAAATATGCACGTGAAGCTCAACAACTGCTCGCCGGGGAGCAGGATCGACTCGGGTACTCAAAGTGACGGTGAGTGACACTTAAGCGGTTTTTTGTGGGGGGGATATCGGGGTGGGGGGGATTATGTCGTAGATTTAGTAGTGATTAATAGTGTGATATCAAGTTGAATTGAATGAATATGTTGTGTAAGAAAGTACGCCTGCGTGTTGCATCATGGCGCTGGATAGTCTTACACATCTTATTGATATTCTGCTCCTCTGAGCAATTTACAATACTCTAACCGTGTGAATACCAACGTAATAAGTACGTGCGTTCGGCAAGGGAAATCATTCTAAACTTAGTAATGGTTTCCCTTTGTTTTGTTCAAGATATTCGATTTATAAATAAACCTTCCTACTTCGCGGAAATTCACTAATCGCGGTAGACCCTGGAACTGATTGACCCGCGATGTACGTGGGACCGCTGGAATTGAAGACGAAATTCTAAATTATTTTATTTTTTTTCTCACGTCTAATGTATATTAAATTAAAATAATGAATTATTTAATATTTAGTTTAAGGTTTTGGGGGTTCCTTTCACTACGTTTCTTTCAGACCATTTGTTCCAGGGGAGCGGGGCATTTCAGAAGTTCCGGGTGTACACTGCCAGTGCAGAACAGGCGGTCCGCCCCTGGGGAGGCTTTTTATCCTTCTTTATTTTATAGAAAGGGGTGGGGGGGTATTTTCTGCCTCTTGCAGAGTTAATATCATGAAAAGGGCGTCAAAATTCTTAGCCCGCCCAGGGTGGTGCTCCTCTAGATACACCGCTTGGTGAACGTGATCGCCGAGAGGTAAATGGGGGACAGGGGATCTCAAGTTGTTAATAAATCGTTTTGTTGTTTAATTATATTTTATTTAAACTATTTCGTTGAGCTCCTTCATTAATAAATGGATTAAAATAAATATATCCATACAAAAGGGTGGCCGTCGCAAAAAGCAGGTATACTAATTGCCTTCTTAAATACTTCCTAGTTGCACCAGACACAAAAGAGAAGACAAGAATATTATTAGTTGAAAAGGTCAATGACAGCTTTTATAAATTGTTTATAAATGTAAAAAAGTATACTAATAACTGCATCTTTCATTCAGGATGATATTATACAACTAACACCCTGCCCTTCTTGAAAAATTGATCTTATATTGTAAAGAAATATAAATTCAAAATTTAGCCTTCTGTAGCGATGAAAAGTTAGTTTAATTCGGTACAGAGTGTAAGCTACACTTGTCCACGCGGTGTAGGCTAAGCATTAACGCTAGGTGTTATGCACACAAGAAATAATGAAAATACCCCTATAAAAATTGCTATGCTGACATCATCAAATATATAGAGCGTAGCGGTTGTGATTGTTCATAGGTTCAACATTTCCTTCATTTTTATAAGTTAAAGTTACATTTACAACTAAAAATGTTATTAAAATGACTATGTCGTTGTTGTTTCTCTTATAAATTACATTTTAGCTTTGTTTTTAACCCGTTGTTGTCGGCTTGCTTGCTTTAAACCTCCCCCCCCCCCTTTTTCCAAAAACCACTCCAGCTACCTGAAATAAAGGCCGGTAGCAAATAAGAATACATTTTTTAAATATAGATATTAGTGAACAATGAGAGGTAGAGGTACACCTTAAAATAGCTAGTGGCCTACTTTGTAACATTAATACAGTATTTAGAATCAATAATGTACAGGTGTCTTGATTTGCCGTATATATATATATATTATATATATATATATATATATATATATATATATATATATCTGATCTTGTATATATTGAGCGCAGCGATAGTTCATTGGTTCCACTATTTCATATATTTAATTAAAATAGTTTAAAATGACAATTTAGTAGTTTAAAAAAATATATATATATATATATTCACTTTATATTTGCACTCG